GGATGATAGATGATAGACAGATGATAGATGATAGATAGATGATAGATGATAGATGATACATATAATGATAGATGATAGATAGATAGATAGATGATAGATAGATGATAGATAGACAGATAGAGATGATAGATAGATAGATAGATAGATAGATAGATAGATAGATGAAAGATAGATAGATAATAGATGATAGATAGATAGATAGATAGATAGATAGATAGATAGATAGATAGATAGATAGATGATGGATGATGGATGATGGATGATGGATGATAGATGATAGATAGATGATAGATCACAGATGATAGATGATAGATAATGATAGATGATGGATGACAGATGATAGATAGATGATAGATGAAAGATGATAGATAGATGATAGATAGATGATGATAGATGATACATATAATGATAGATGATAGATAATGATAGATGATAGATAGATGGTAGATGATAGATAGATAGATAGATAGATAGATAGATAGATAGATAGATAGATAGATGATAGATGCTAGATAGATGATAGATGATGGATGATGGATGATGGATGATGGATGATAGATGCTAGATAGATGATAGATGCTAGATAGATGATAGATGATGGATGACAGATGATAGATAGATGATAGATGATAGATGACAGATCATAGATCATAGATAGATGATAGATAGATGATGGATGATGGATGAGAGATGATAGATAGATGATAGATGAGAGATGATAGATGATAGATGATAGATGATAGAAAAATAGATGATAGATAGATAGATAGATAGATAGATGATAGATCATAGATAGATGACAGATGATAGACAGATAGAAGATAGATAGATAGATAGATAGATAGATGATAGATAGTTCAGAAAGGCTGGAAACGGGCCTGTTTTTGGCTTCCAGAGAGCCTCCAGAGCCCGGGGAGGCTTTTTTCACTCTCCTGGAAGCTCGAGGAAAGCCTCCGGAGCCCAGGGAAGGCAGAAACGCCCCCCACCCATGGTGGGGTGCAGGAGGCTGACTAGGCCACGCCCATCATGGCCACGCCCTTTCCCCCAGCAACCGGGCAGAGAAGCTCACCTGTGGATGGATAGAGAGATAGAGAGATAGATGATAAATAGATGGATGGATGGACCAAGGAATAGAGAGAGAGAGAGAGAGAGAGAGAGAGGCAGGCAGGCAGGCACGCAGACGATGAATGAATGGATAGATATGATAGATGGACAGACAGACGGATGGATGGATAGCTGATAGACAGAGATAGATGATAAATATTGACAGAGAGACAGAATCAGTGACCTCCAAACTTTGAAATTACCTACCTGCACCCACCACTACAACCCAGCTGGGTGAGTTTCACCTCATCCAGGAAGAGACGCTGGCTTTGGGAGTAGCTGAGACGATGTGGTCTATCACGGCAAGGAGGAAAACACGGGGCTGGACAACCAAACCCTTCCCCAAAGATTTGCCATTTCAAAGGTCCTCCCCCCTGTGGCTTTATGAGGATTCGAGCTGACCAAAACCAAAGCCTATCCGTTTCCAGATCCCAGGTTGAAAATAAAGAGAGGAAAAACCAAAGAGGAAGAAAATTATTTGAATTTTTTTTTTTATTGAAAGTTGTGAAGAGGACTCATCCCAAAAAAATCGAACCGAGAAGATACCTGAATAACCAGCACATTTCTAATGATGCCATTAAAAAAAAAAAAAAAAACAATATACAGCACACACCGTCCATGTGATATTTTAAATTTTCATATAGTTTTAAAAGGTTTCTGGTATTCTTTTTTTTTTTTTCCCCACCCCCTCTGGAGTGAAAAATAAAAATTTGAGGTTGCTTCCTGTACTGTTTTCTTTTTTTTTCCTTTGAATACCCCCACACTGTAAAAGTTTTTTTTTTTTAAACCATTCACTCTTTATTCATCGTTCTTTGAACTATAAATCAGGAGAAAGTCGTATTTTCCCTGTCGAGTTCCTTTTGAAGGATTTGATTGTCTCCTGGTCTTTTTAGCCGGATCTAAAAATAATGATTGTCTTCCAACAGACGGGATAAACATTTTTCCTTGTTTCTTTTAGATATAGAACAAAAATTTTCTTCCGTTCACAAAGAGTTAAACAAGCAGGGAAATCTGTGGCAGGTGAAAAAAAAAATTCAAGATGGTTGCCCCACTTTTGCGCTCAAAGCCCTGCCCCTTCGATGTCATGTGGGAAAGTGGGTGGGGCTTGGACGGCACAGCCCTGGCCACGCCTACCCGGTTTATGACCCCTCCCCAGGGACCTGTGAAACCAGATCTTCATTTACAATAGATGTACGCTCACGTAAAGTGGAAAAAGAAAAGAAAACAATCAAACATGAGTTAAACTCTAATTATGTACACTCCAATGTACAACTCTAAATAAATTAATACCAATTTTTGCATATTTGGGGGTTGAGGGGATTTCGTTATAGCTTATTTACAGAAATTACCATTTTATTCCATAAATATTATGTTTCTTTTTTTAATTTTTTTTTTCCTTTTTCGCTTTAAATTTTCTGATACGCAGAGAGAAAGTCCCCAAAGAGAAAGATCCGAAAGTCACACGTGGATTGTGCCAACTCTGAAAGTTGGGAAGCGGAAAGAGAAACATTCATGTTTATTTTTCTTTTTTTCCTTCTTTTCGGTGGCCGTCGACGTTCGGTAGCAGAAGGGGAACGCCTGTGAACACATCGCTCTCCTCCTCTGGCTAATATTAACCCAATTTCCTAACATTTAGAACTTGGCAGAAAGCTCCCTTCTTCTTCCCCATTTCCCTAGCATCGGAGGACCAAATCCTACGGCATCGTCCGCATTTCAAAATTCAATTCTTGTGGGAAGAAACGTGCCAAGGATTTTTCCAAAATGAGTTTGGAGGTGACCTAAGACGCCATTTTCCTCTCCGGTGGCCATTTTAGAGATGCATTTGGCTTAAAACAGACCTCTTCCGCTTGATCTCGGGCCAGAAAACAGTTAAGATATCAGTGGGCTGTTGAGATTACAGCACGAGTTCGAAAACCTGGTTAGCAAACACCTTCCTAACATGCTTTCACCGCCTCCTTTTCTCGGCCCTTGGCTCTGCTTGCACCTCTAGTAGGATGCTAAGCTACTGATGCCTCTAGACTCCGATCCATCTCAATCTCCTCTCCTCTTTTTCTTAAAAAATAAATATTTATATACTGTGTGCTGTACACATCTCTTTCCCAGCCGCTCCTAAGCTCTAGGGGGTTGGCTGCTTCCGTGAACCGTTGACTTGGGGGAATTCCTACTAGGGGATACTTCCCTTTGGGTCTCCAAACCGCTGACCAGTCTCTGGATGTTTTGCAACTCGTTCATGGACTCTTTCAAAGATGGCTTGGGGGACAGAGACGCCCGCTGGGTGCTGGCTTTCGGGATGGGCAGATCCGAAAGAGGACTCGATTCCCGACTGTTCCCGGGCTTGGAGGCTTCCATGCCAGCATTCAAACCGGCAGGCAACCCGGTGGTTAGGAGGCTGGTGCTGGGAGGGATGGCCACCGGGATTTGGTAAGGGTTGAACCGCGGGCGAGGTCGAGCGCTGCTCAGGAACGGGTTCCGGGAGAGCGAGCTGGCGGCAGTGGCACTGGTCACTGGCATGGCGGAAGCTGCGGCAGCTGCAGCCGCCATGTAAGTATACGGGTAAGGAAAAAGTCCCCCAAAAGTAGGCAGTGGGATTCCCTGAAAAGAGAAAGGAAGAGACGGGGAAAAGGTCAGCCTCGTCAGATTAACAACAGTTCACTTAGTGACCATTCAAAGTGGCAACAGCACTGGAAAAAGTGACTTAGGACCAGTTTTCTCACTTAACGACCATTGAGGCCTTAGCGCGGTCACACGATCAAAATTCAGCTGCTTAGAATGCTGCAAACAATGCTGTAAATCAAGGGTCTTCCAACTTGGCAAGTTTAAGACTTGTGGACTTCAACTCCCAGAATTCCTGAGCTAACATGACTGGAGGAGGAATTCTGGGAGCTGAAGTCCACAAGTCTCAAAGCTGTCCAGTTTGAAGACCCCTGCTGTAAAAGGATGGCTGGTTGCCAAGCAACCTGTTCTGACCCAGCTCCCCAAACACAACAAACTCTCTGCCATGAACTCAAAAGATTCCTTTATTGGGAATGCTGGCAGCCCCAGCAAAAAGTTTCTCTCGCAGACTAACAAGCCCATCCCTCTGGAGATGAATAATTGTCTGCCACATCTATTCATCTCCACTGCTGCCTTTTATTCCCAGAGCTGAGGTGGGGGCTCTTCTGTCCTAAGGACCGGCCCATAGATTTCCACTGCTCTCCTCTCCTCTGCCTTCTGTGCATCTACGTGTCAGACACTGGACCCAGCTATTCCTCCTCTTCCTCATCAACCGCCTCCAGAACTGGAGGCTGTTGATTCTCCATCTGAGGACTGACAGATGACCCAGGCTCCGCCTCTCTCTCTTTCTCTCTTTCTCTTTCTCTCTCTCTCTCTCTCTTTCTCTTTCTCTCTCCCTCTCTCTCTCTCTCTCTGCCAGCTCCATTCCCTCTTCCCCCTCAGAGCTCTCTGACTTTCTCCCACACCTCCTCCTCCGATTCGGCTGCTGTAGGGGCCAGCGGCCAACAGGCCACAACAGGCCACAACACAACCAGATGTGATCACATGATCCGGAGTATGTGTGTGTGGGGGGGGGGGACTTCCAAACCAAGCTCTGGGAAGGTCCATCAGAACTTCAAATGGTCCCTAAAGTGAGCAGCCGTGGAGTAGTCCTCCACTTCCAACCATTCGTTTAGTAACCGTTTGAAATTACAGCCGGCACTTGGGAAAAAAGTGAGTCAGGACACAGTTTTTCACACTTACGACCATTGCAAGCCTCCCCAGGGTGATCAAAATTCAGAGGACTCATATTAGGACGGCCGCAGTGTCCTGGGGTCACGTGATCCCGTTTTGCAACTTCCTGACCAGCAAAGCCAATGAGGAAAGCTGCATTCATTAAACAACTGTGTTGCTAACTTAACGACTGCAGTGACTCGTTTAGCAACTCTGGCCAGGAAGGTCGTAAAATGGGGCCCCAAGTCACTTCCCGACTGTCTCACTTAGCAGTGGAAATTTTGGGCTCACTTGTGGCCCTATAAATCAAGGACAACCCGTACTTCTATTCTCATATATTTAATTTTCCCCCCCCTGGTGCTAGAAAATCAAGAGAAGTGCAAAGCTGTCCAACCAGCATTTTTGCTTTCTTCGTTTGCACAACAGTCGTGAGCAATTACAGCTGGGTTTCACGGGAAATCCAGGAAAACCTTCTTCACTCCATTCCCATAAATACTGCAGGCATTTTTCCCACCCACATCAAACCCTTCCGTCAATTTATTTGCTTAGTAACTGTATATATCCTGCCCAGTCCTTCGCGGCTTGGCTGGGGCCCATAAGAGAAAACAGCGACGTTAAAAAATAAAAAAATAAATCCAGATTATAAATTTTAAATGCAATGTAAACTATCAGCAAATGAAACGCCGTCCAGCTGAAAAAGCTAAAACCAGCAACTTCGACTTTTTTTTTTTTTGAAACCCCATGATATGGGTAGTCCTCGACATGCAACCGTTCATTTAGCGACCAAAGTTACGACAGTATTGAAAAAAGTGGCTTATGACCGTTTTTCACACTTACAACTGTGGCAGTGGTCATTTAACATAGTCATTTAAAACTCATTTAACAACTGTCTTGCTTGGCAACGGAAATGTTGGGCTCAGTCGTTAGTTGTCATAGGGTGAAGGAAGAATTATTGTCAATACAATAATTTATGGATTGCGTCAATACTTTTCTAACAAATGCTCAATTGGAAGAATGACTCATCTAGTCCCATTCGTCATATGGACTACTAGAACACAGTAATTAAATTGGATTGTTCTTCCTGCTAGAAAAATGAAACCATGTTGCTTGGCTCTTTTCCATCCTACCTGCCAAAATCATTTGTCAGGGCAACCCAGATTTTATTTCACAATATAATATTTTGAGCGTCTGTTTGGAAACGAGGCCTGCTAGGAAAGACAAGCACTGGTTTCAGGTAAATAGGTGACCGGGATTAGTCCAAACACATTCAAATTATAGCAATTTTGTAAAAGACATCAATGCAACCAGATCTCTCATGAAATGGGAGGGGCGGGAAAGATCATTTGAATTTTGTGAAAAAACGTGTGTGTTTCCCTGAAAATAAGACCCTGTCATTCACATATATATATATATATATGTATTTTCCCACATCATTGTAGTTGTGCTTTTAAAGTTGTAGCAACGTTTCGGCAGAATCTCGTCTGCCATCATCAGGCTTCTGGTTGTGTCCGTCCATCAGAAGCCTGATGATGGCAGATGAGATTCTGCTGAAACATTGCTACAACTTTGAAAGCACAACTTAAGAATATATATATATATATATATATGCAGGTCTTGGTGTGTTCGGGTCTTTTTCCATGTAAGATTGAGAATATCTTGGCAACCTTTCGACGAGGTCCCACTCACCATCTTCAGGCTGGTGCTTTCGGCTTCGTGCTTGTGCGAGCAGATACTCTCAATCTTACATG